TCCTCTAAAGGTTTTTAAATTGTTTCATATCTGGTCAAGTTGAGATTTTTAAGAACCTCATTTTTAATTTGTAATAAAAGTTTACAGCTTGATTTTTTCAAAAAAGTCAACAAACTGCAAGCACCTGTTAATAAATCTTAAAAAATAATAAAAAAAAAAAAAGATGAATGATAATTTGTCCTCATAAGAGAGGATTTGATGGCACTGTTTGCTGTACATTCCTTTCATAGTTTATCCTGAATTTACCTAGTAGTTGGGGTGGCCACCTGTGTTAGGTAATTGCCTTTATCCAAGAAAAGAATAAACCGTCTTGTAACTTTATGGCAAGTGGTGGTTGCAGCTTGCACTCAGGCTAACTAAAATCCGGAAAGGACTGGGAGATAGGGTGCTCTTCCTTGATGTTTTTATTTAAAAGAGGTGGCTCCCCGGCCCTTAAGAAAAACATTCTTGGATTGTAGTGCTCATAAGAGGCTTATTTAGGTTTTAAAAAGATTTATATGCATTTCAAAGGAACTGAGGAAGGACTTATACATACAGGTTTTCTTTTCTTGTTTTAAAATTTTTTGTTAATCCTCACCCAAGGATATTTTTCCATTGATTTTTTAGGGAGAGTGGAAGAGAGAGGGAAAGACAGAGAGAAATATCGATGTGAGAGAAACACATTGATTGATTGCCTCCTGCATGAGCCCGACCAGGGCCCAGGCTGGGGAGGAGCCTGCAACCAAGGTATGTGCCCAGAACCCTTTGGTTCATAGGCTGATGCTCTATCCATTGAGCCAAACCGGCTAGGGCAATACAGGTTTTTCTTAATGAATTGTAAGAAAAGGGAGAAGGGGAAAAGGTCTCTTTGCCTTTTGGCAAGAGGAATAACACAGCCTGCCTGCCTGCCTATCTCCCTCCCTCTCTCCCTTTCTCCCTCCTTCCCTTCTCTCTTTGCCCCTGCCTTGCCCTGGCCAGGTAGCTCAGTTGGTAAGATCGTCATCCCAATATGCCAAGGTTGTGGGATCTATTCCTGGTCAGGGCACATACTGAGAACCAACCAATGATTTCTCTCCCTCCTTCCCTACTCTCTCTATTCCTTCCAGTAGTTGCTTTAAGAAGGAATATACCATGAGTTGGCCTAAAAGCCTGTGCCTAATAGACCTGCTGAGGAGACTGCCCTAAGAGACTAATCCTGAGAAACTGGCCTTTGATTCAGACTTTCAGTAAATACTCAGGAATGTGCTGATAGGCCTCCAGAACAGTTGGGTGAGGGTAGGCAGGTACAAAGACTCCCAGAAGGTTAGTGGGTGAGAACTTCTCCAAGAGCATCTCAGACAGCGCCACTGATAACAGGGCTCCCTGTGAGTTCTTCTGTTAGAGAAAGGCTGCTGTAAACAGAAATAAAAGGCAAGAGACCAACGCGGGGAAAATATCTGCAGTGTATATATCCAATGATTCCATAGTACGTAAACCTCCTCCCTCCAGGAAAAAAAAGCTAAATGTCAACCCAACAGAAAAAGTGGGCTAAGGATGTAAAGAAGTAGGTACATCGTTTTGCATTCTCACTAACAATGTAAAAAGGCTCAGATTTCTTCAGCCTCACCAATACTGCGTTCATCTTTTTATTGTAGCTGTTCTAGTTCATGAGAAATTGTAAATCACTGTGGTTTTGATTTGCATCAAATGACTAATGAAGCTGCTCATCTTTTTGGCCATTTGTATGTCACCTTTAGAAAAATAACTATTCAAAGTCTTTGCCCATTTTTTAAATTGCATTATCTTTTTATTATTGACCTATAAGAGTTCTTTATGAATCCTAGATATAAGTCCCTTTTTGAATATATGATTTGCAATATTTTCTTTCATTTTTCTTTCTTGATAGTATCTTTTGAAATACAAAAGTTTTAAATTTTGTAAGTCCAATGTGTTTTCTTTTATCCCATGTACTTTTTAAAGAACTCAGTGCCTTAACTAACAGAGATTTATTCCTATGTTTTCTTTTTAAAGTTTCATAGATTTATCTCTTACATTTAGGTTCATGATCCACTTTTGAATTAACTTTTATATGTAGTGAGGTAGGGGACCAAATTCATCTTTTTGCATGTAGTTATCTAGTTGTCCCTGCACCATTTGTTAAAAGGACTATTTGTTTGTTTTGCCATTGAATTTTTGAGGCATGTTTGTTAAGAATCAGCTCACTGTAAATGTAAGAATTTATTTCTGGGCTCTCATTTCTATTCAATTGGGTGTCTTTACATCAGTATCACTATTTTGATTACTGTAGCTTTGTAGTAAGTTTTGAAATTGGGAAGTCTGTCCTCCAAGTTTGTTCTTATTTTCTAGCTTGTCATGGCTATTCTGGGTTTCTGGTATTTCCATATGAATTTTAGGATGAGCTTGTTAATTTTGGCAACAACAAAAAGAGATCACATTGAAGCTATAGACCAATTTGGGGTTTATTGCCATCTAGCAATTCATGATCCTGGAATGGTTTTCTATTTCTTTAGTTCTTTACTTTTTTTCAGTAACATTTTATGGTTTACAGTGTACATATCTTGTACTTATTTTGTTAAATTTACTATATAAAGTATTTTATTTTTTTAAAATTCTTTATTAGTTAAGGTATTACAAATGTGTCCTCATCCCCCCCCATTAACCCCCAAATTCCCCCCACACACACACACACACTCATGCTCCTGTCCCCCTGTTGTCCATGTCCATTGGTTTGGCTTGTATGCGTGATGCCTACAACCTTTGGTTGATCTCTTCCCCTTACCCCCTCCCTCCCCTACTTTCCTTCTAGGGATTGATAGTCTGATCGCTGTTTCTCTGTCTTTGGATCTGTCCCTGTTCATCAGTCTACGTTGTTCTCTATAATCCACAAATGAGTGAGATCATATGGTATTTATCTTTCTCTGACCTGCTTACTTCACTTAGCATAATGCTCTCCAGTTCCATCCATGCTGTTGCAAAAGGCAAGAGTTC